GAGTGTCTGAATTCCTCCTACACTTCCGCTGTGCTCCATTCTTTGAGCTCTGGATTGCAGTGCTTTGGGATGCTGCAGTAAACTTACGCTGATGAACATTACACTAATGAAGCCAGTTGATACGGACAGCAGCAGAAGACGAATTCTGCAGGGTCTTCCTGTTAATAGTGGAAATGAACCGAAAACTGCAGCCTGTTGGCTGTATCAATTTGTTATTTGATATGAGAAATATTTCTCTAAGATTGTTTTCTTCTGCGTGTGTGCTGGGGCAAGACTTTGTCAGTGTCAGCAAGGCACCAGCTAACAATGAAGTCTTTGTCTTCATTGACAGTCAATTAGCATTATTCTGTAAACATAGCTGTGGCTGGAAAATAGATATTGTTGAAAATTCGTAGTCAGTTTTGCTGGGATTCATTGCAGGAACCAGGACTGTAGTGAAATTATACTCATGTCTGGACAATAGCCTACACCTTAACTTCTCTAACCAATAAACTTGAGTTTTTCTGTCTACCATATGTACACGAGAAATATCTGATTTAAAATTGATATCCAGTAATCATTTCGATATTTTAGCGCCCATTACATGGTGGGTCCTCATTAAAACAGCATTCTTCACATTATATGGAACAGAGCCTGCAACGCACGCTTGAGACCCATGAGAAACACAACCTGATGAGATCAGTGAAGATTTGTGAAACTGAAAAAATCGGTAATGGGAAAGTATTGCTGATATTTCAGTTGGTAAGAATCTTACTACCTGTGTTCACTGGGAGGACACACTCACTGCTTACTTCTATTGCTTTAAATATATGCAGTCTTATTTAAAAACCACAAGTGCAAATAATTCTCTTCCTCAAAACCAATGGTATCACAATTCAAAACAGTTGGTTATACAAAAACAGAACCAATTCAGATATGTTTGTAACAAGAAAACAAATTTATTGATTTTAAAAGACAAGACACAATTTTGTTTTGAAAAACACAAAAAGCTAGCCTGAGTTCAAGTCTGAAATATTCAGAAAAATCCTACTGTCTTTAGTATGTTCCAGTCATTTTTTTAAACAACACACTAAAAGTTAATATATATTTTTATAATTATAAAAGTTCCCCAGTTATTGTACAGTACACAATACAAATTGCCCACAAACTATTATTTAGCTCCTGCCAGTTTTGAGAGGACATGATATACTAAAAGATTTAGCATTTCTCACAAAAATCACATCAGGAAATACGTATTTACAAAATCAAATACATTATACAAAAAAACCATCACGTTATTCTGTAAAGATGTCTTCTTTAAATAATTAAAAAGTATATTCAACTGTAGTCCAAAAACTGGAAAAGAACATTACATTATCTCACACATACAATCTACAAAAAAGTCGCTTACCTCATTTACATAATATATTCAGTCAACTGGAAAATAAAAGTTTGAATCTATCCTAGTGTTATGATGTTTCCGTGCTGTGGGACTGAACAATGTAATCTGCCACTTACTAAGTGAAATTTAAACGATGGCACTTAAAAAAATACACTATAAAATAAATGCAACAATGGAAGTTTCCTAGAAGGTAAGAAAGCCCTGAGCGATGACAAAATTACTGATTGGTAGCTCTAGAATTAACCTAATTAAAGTTTACCACCTCAGGCACAATTTTCTAAGTTTTTGAAAGGCACTCAAAGTTTCTTTAACAGCCTCATTGGTTATTAACTGTAAATCCAAATTTCGAGTGAAGATGAGTGGAGATGGGCAACTTGCTTTGGTACAAAGTGATATATTTCTGGCATCCTTTTAATTGCTTAATTGGGTTGTGTTAAGATGGATATAATGTTTCAATGCAAGGCAAACACATTAATATTGTATCAAAGAAAACTTCATTTGGGGAACCCTTTAGTATTCTTAAAGCTCCTGGTGACATCAGCGAGTCAAAAAGAACCGAAGTGAGTTCCTGGTAAATACCAATCCACGTGAGGTTGTCTGTCCCTCCAAATCCTAAACTCCTCTAGCAAAGACATCTGTTGTTTCAGAGTAAAATTCATCCAGAACTGAAAACTCTTGTAAGATGTTTGCACCCGAATCAAGAAAGTGCATAAGGATAGAAAGATCCCGATTTAGATTTAAGTGAGGCTCATTTGATGCTAGTAGTCTTGTTCTGGGCCTTATTTTCTACCGTAAATTTTACCCTTAGTGAGAAATCTTCAAGAACAATTCTTACCAAATATTTAACTACTCAGGGCTTCCAATCCCAAAATGTTAATTTATTTTTCGAAAGGAAAAGGAAAGGAAAAGTAATAAAACATGATCATTTTCAAACTAAGGCATATTTTACTTCAAACAAACACTAGGCAGTCACTTTGTAAGTGGCTTTTACTATTTCTCAAGTTAAACTGGTAAATTAAACTCAGGTCTACCGGCACATAAAATCACTAGCAGCAATGATCAAGGCATGCAAACTCAGAAGCATTTACATTAAATTATGAATTAAAAAGTTGTTAAATTAAAACCCTTTGAGTATTGCATTTATGATAATTAATTCTGCATGAATTTGCAATAACTGACTAAAAATGTCTACAGCTTACTTGCACTATACTACTGATGTAATTGCATTAAATAACTTAAAATGAGACCTTTTGTTTTTTTTGCCCTCAGATAGACTTCAGTAAGTACAGCTGCACATAGTGTTTGCGACTGATACTGCAAGAAACCTGTAGAAAATTTACAGTACTCTCACTTAGTAAGCTGGCATTTCTCTCTTTAATGTCAAAGAATCTGTACTTGCTACTACACTCATTCCCTTGCTCTTATAAGCAGTGTTTGTAAGATCTAAGGGGCTTTTTAACATGTTAAAAGGCTGGTGCAGTTTCTAGGCTGCTGTTCAAATTCTCACGTTCAGTAAGGGCCATCCCTTGCACCCCTGCAGATGAAACTGAGTGAAAAACCTTCATCTTAGCATTAGTTATTATTGCAGTGACTGAATGTTAAAAGGAGTATAATTGGGTTCTGGTTTAAGAAAAAGATGGCAGAAAACTTCAGTGTAAACATACCAAATATTCTGTAATTTTTTTCTTTTTCGCTAAGCCTTTAATTTCTAATGATTCTCTTTTACATTATTGGAGTATTCCATGCTAGCCTACCTAAGGAGATTTTAAAAAAAGGATAAGTATTTTTTTCCTAAACCTTCATCTTCTAAAGGCATCATATTAGACAACTTAATGTCCATAGAAACACATTTGATTTTCTTCACGTATTTCTGCATTTATGAAAACAAGGGAGATGAAGAACTATTTTCCATTAGGCAATACACATCAATGGCAGTGAATATTTGGCTAAATCTATGGAACCTATCACAAAACCATTCCTGTATAGTAAGCAAGTATCTACTTTAGAATTATATAAAAAAGTAATAATAATCTACAATGCCATCAATCAGCTATTTGGAAGTGTATGATAAATGGACTGAATAAATGACCTAAAATGCTTTATTCTCATCATACAACTTACAATGCTCAAAGGGTTAATGCAAGGCATTACGTTAAATTAATGTTATAATACTAGAAATAAGCACTGTGTGTTTATGCTCCTATTCCAGTTTTTTTGTTTGTTTGTTTCTCTTAAATCACCAAACAAATTAGCAGAGATACTACAATTCCAGTTACTGATTTTAAACCATATACACAGAGGATGTCCCGTTAGAGAGACAAGGGCCCAATTTTCAGAAATTCATGCTGTTCTCTCAAATGAATGTTTTAAACACTAAAATTACTCTTGTAGGTCATACTTACATCATTGATAAATCTACTTTCCCTTCCCTACTTTTATAGCTAAAATGATTACTTTCTTTTTGTAAAACCATTCTGATTTGAATCCAGTGTGACTCTAAATCTAAAAGGTTTTCTAAACAGTGCAGGTATCAATTAGTGATATTGAGAAAGATATCATGTCTCTTAGGAGAAAAAGGAAAGGTGAAAAAAGAGGTTTTAGATATTTTAAAATACCTCGCTTTAAATTAAATTTGTATATATGCCTATACATTCCTGAATGACAGTACACCAGAACATTACCTATTTTCTTATTTATGAACTAAAGGCTGTAATTCTGTAAGTCATTACTGTATGGGTAAATAATTTAAAATCTACTTTCCAGCTTTCTAGGGAAGTCTTTTTAAAAGAAGGTGCTTATAGCATGCTACAGTACATGAGTAAAACACAAAAATAACAACTGAAACCAGAAAAGAAAAACAAAAGCTTTAAAATTGATTTACCATGAAAAAAAAAAGGAAATGTACCAGCAAATCATCGTAAACATAAAACTTTTGAAAATTGGGCCCTGTGCTTTGAAAAGGTAGTTTAACAATACCCATTCCCCTACACTGTTCACTGTGATATTTGTGCTGACAGGGAAAATGCCTTTAAATAATTATTTTGAATTCCATTTCACATAAACCACTATCAGCCCTCATAACGTCTACCCTGTGGATAAATGCTAAACCTCTCCAGAGCACTGGCAACAGACTTCAGAGCTGGTGTGCCAACCACATGCTGCGCATCATAGAATCTGGACTGAGGTATTCATATCTCTGTAGTTTAATCATTACTAAAACCCAACTATTAAAGATAGCAGAAGTGTGCAAAATGTTTTACCTGTGTTTGATTAAAATTTCATTAAATTTAAAAACACAAGACCTCCAAACCTGCAACTATACAAACTAGCTTACAGCAACTTAGTTCTTCTAAAAATCTTGTAAGAAAACAAGTATGAGGAAAAAAAAAAAATTTAAATTCCAAAAAGTAATCAATTGATAAGCATAGAAATACAGACGCCATTTAATTTTCTCAATCTGGGATAGTTCCAGTTTGTTTTGATAACTCATTGTGTGTAGAAGCTATGAAATACATTCTATCTTTGTATTAATTTTTCTATTTTTTTTCTTTCCTTTTTTTTTCTTTTTTTTTTTTTCTTTTTTTTTTTTCTTTTTTTTCTTTTTTTTTTTTTTTGCACTTTGTGAACAGTGAACAACTGGGATGGGAGTGGGAAACGGAATAATTAAAGATACTCAGGTCCCACCTCTTTCAGCAATCTAAATTTACCTATTACAATCATTCTCTTTTCTCAACAACAAATACAACATTAAAATCAATAAGACAGTAAGAAAACATTATAGGGTTTGCCAAGACAAGAATTGAATGAAGTACTACAGTATTAAAAAAGTTTAAAATGAAAAAAAAAATTGAATTATTTCACTTTATTTTAATTGTAAACATCTTATAATGCACAATGAAGGGGAGTAAATATTTATCACAGCTTAGTTTTAGGATTTTTGGTGAAGGGTACATCTACGCTGATTTCCAAGGATAAATCAGGACACACTGAGCAATATATGTGAGAGCAAAATCTATAATGAGATTCAGTGCAGTTATGAGTATAGAAATAATGAATATAAACCTCACTTTCACTTCTTACTGAGGTGAAAGCCATTTATTAACATCAAGCAGGAATTATGCCTACACAGAGTAAGCAGGATGGGTTTACCTCCCAACTCTTTAAAAGGAAGTTAAGTTTAATTTTGCACACCAATAATGTTAGGACATTTTAGTTGATATGTAGCTGTATTTGGAGCACATGTAATCTATAGCAACAAACTCCTTTGCTATAAATACACTGTTAATTTTGCTATTCTTCTCCCATTTGGTATATATTACTTTAAAGTCATGTCACAGACACTGTAGGTAAGCCAAAATAAAAGAACCCCTAATTTTTTTACACAGTCATTTGTATAAAGTTGATGTTTTTGTGCTCTCCTTCACTTTTTGGCTTTTTTTTTTTCTTTTTTTTCTTTTTTTCTTACTCAATGCCCTATATAACGTGGCAAATTCATGTGTCTGCATAATGAAATATTTAAGAATAAAAATGGCAATTAATGTATGCTTTATATAAACTGTCAATACGAGATCGAGCCATTAAAATGTAAAATCAGGCTGATACCCCACAAAACATACAAATTGAAAACATGCACTGCATTATGTACCTGCTCATTTATTCATTTTTACCTTTTAAAATTAGAAGTAGACATGGGTCTAAAAATATATATAATCATGCTTGGGACTATAGTCAATCTATCTTGACATCTGAATGTGGTATTAAAGCTAGTTTTGCCTTCCAGATTCCCAAGCAAATTTTATTTGTAATAAAGTGAAATCCAGCTAGAAACAAGAAAAAATAGGTTTATTGTCATTCTAAGAGGGATATTAAAATCATTTAATAATAAAAAATCATTTTATTATTTTGAAGGCTATGTAACCTGTCCTTACTTCTTAGGGAATTTGAAAATGACAGGCACACCTTGTTGAATTAATTTAAGAGTTAAGAATAACAAAAAGTACTAAGTCTTAGCTTCAGTTCTGTTTAAGGCACCATGTAATAGCCGAGGTACAATGATCCCTGATGTACATTCTTAAATGGCAATGGTCCATCTAGCCACCTATTCAAATTCTACACAACTGGGAATAAGTAAAAGTGAGGTGTGCCAGTTACACTGCCTTACCTAATTTTTTGTAGAAGTTTAAATCCACTGTAACAACAAGGAAATATTTTTGTGAAAGGAAAATGATGCAGGTTGCTACATTCCTTGCATTCTATAAATTATCTTTTCTAAGAGCAGCAGATTGAACCACTAATACGAAAAGACCTGGAATAGAAGAAAGTCATCCAAATGGAATATTTTCCTGTATGTCCAGTCCAGCTTAAGTAGCATGTACACTTAAAAATTAACAGTAATAATTAAGTCACTTCTTTTTCAGCTTCAGCTTCTAACAACTACAGTACCACTCAACAGCCAAAAGTACCTGTTCAGTGGCACCACATTTAGTATCAGTAGTCTTCAAAACAGAGGAACTGGTATGCAAATAATACCTGGAACTGTTGATTTTTAATGAACCTTGCATTCTTAACATGATGGTCAGATAATTAGGTACGTTCGTTACGTACGTACACATTATCACATTGTTACAATTCTGCCATTTAAACTTGCTTCTTTCTCACAGAAAGAAACTAGTATATCTTCTCAACTCTTCAACATTATTACAAAAAATCCCCCTGAATACTCACAATTTTATCAAAATAGTGTCTTCTAGTTGTCCACGGAAAAGCACCTTTTATAACAAACTTGATACATCTGTTGTCAAATAAGTATGCCTCCAGTGTAAATCAAAGAAAATAGTTCTTTTGATATTTCACAGAAGTGCATCTATTTAAAAACCTATGTATATGAAATCATCACCATAACCAATAATGAACATTAAAATATTTAAAAAAAACTATGAAAAAAATTAAATTATTATAAGAGGACAAAAACATTAACACCAAGCTTTGCAAAAATCTTTCTTGCATTTGATTATAAGAAAACTCTTCATATTGAGTGGCCAATGTAAAATGATCCTGTTTACAAGAAAATCTTTTTTAAACAGGTCTGGCAAAATGTTTACACCCATACCATTTAATGACTCCAATAAAATAATGCTCAGTACAGCTGAAATTTGACAACAGTCAATTTTCAGACTTTTTTTCTCTTTTATTTTTTTTCCTCTTAAACCCAAAGAGCTAATGTAATGATGGGGGAGGGGAGAAGTTTCACATTAGACTGCAGTATATGTATTTCCAGTAGCACTGCACTGTCTGATAGTCTGAGTAGTTGCAACGATGTGCTCATTATGAATTGGGTTCAGGAGGTTCTGCTGTACTCCACTCTCAAGCACTGGCTGCATGCAGCCCACCTGAAATGCTTGGTTTAGCTCTGTTTTCTCTCTCTTTGCTTGCGGCTCTCCATTTTCATCCATTTCTTCATCTATTTCACTTTCAACTTCGCTGCCTTCATCTGCATAAAGGAAAAAAAAAAAAGATCTAATACAAATGGCTTTGTTTTGCAAATAATATTTGAAATACAAAGATATTGGGATGACTAGCAATCTGATAAAGCACAAACTGAAAACTTAAAACTTTAATGGAAAACACTAATGATTATATCAAATACTTTAATAGACTCCCATTGTTTTGATCACACTAGTTAGATACTATTGATAAAAGAAGGAGAAGAAATTACCAATCCCAAAAACAATATCTAACAAACAACAATAACTTCATATTGTAAAATCCCTTTCATCTTCAAGATCTGATAAACCTTTTGAAGAATTGTTACATATTAGGGAAATGAGTGAAAAGAGGTTGTGATGTGACATCAAATTGTACAACCAATCAGTATAAAATGTATGTCAAAATATGGCATGAAGAGCTCGTAAGGAACTCATTTCTTCCCACCATCTTCTCTGGCAAGCTATGTAGCAACTGCTTGCAATTCTAACTATGCATTAGTTAGCATTATGCAATGCTAAATCTTCATTTAGCAGTGATAAAGATACATAAGCCTACTCCTGTCTTTCTTCCCACAGCTGTTTGCTTCTTTGTACTACCAAGCACAAATAAACACCAGGCTCAACTGGGAACATTTCCTGTGTTAATGCTAAACGTCTTTAAAAATTAACTGTTGTTAGAAAACATAGCTATAATATTCTAGTAATTATTATATGCTGCATATCAATGTATCTAAAAAACAAACATATGCATTTTATGGCATGATACAGCTCTAAGTTCTACTTATTTTGCTCAGAGACACATTAGTTCTACACTGACTTATATACTGGAAAGATTAAAATGCATACCTTTATCCATATTTCCAGGGGACACAGCATTTAAATCACCAAACTGCAAAATAAACAGCAGAAAAAACTGAGCACAGTCTTATGCAAATAGTATGTAGAATGCCTGTGATGGAGCCAGATTGTGCTCCACAGGTTTGAGATTGGCATGCAAACACATGGCCTGCACTGCAGCCACATCCATCATGCATCAATTCATTTTCCATTCCATCTTGTATTTAGTAAGACAGTTATCACTAAAGAAATTTTCACAAATTAAAACGGGGAACTATAAACTTATATCATTCTTTTTCAAGATAGCATCATCAGGGCCTTTATCAATTGAAGTGAGCTACTTCCATGTTGAATGTCAGAAACTGTGACAGATATTTTGAACTATCGATATTTTATCCAAAAGGTCTTTTTAAAATTTCCCAGAGAAGCTAAAAGAAAAATGAAGGTGTGTCTCTAAATGCAGCTATAGCATTGCAGATTTACCTGGAAGACAGATGAAATGCACTGCTGAGGAAAAGTTTACAAAATGGTAACCAATTTACTTGTATTAAAAAGATGTATTTGCAAAAATGTTGTTCATGTATAACATTCCTTCCTTTCCTTTCCTGAATTCTCTAACTCTCTTAAATGAAAGAAATTAGCAGAGTAGAACGTCCTCAATGAATCCCAAATGAGAGTTTTACTTAAATTATACAGTTCTGACAGTAAATGATACCAGCCTTTTTCAGAAATACAGTAAGACAAAACAGTAACTTAAGGAACACTAATGCAATGAGCACCAATACCATAACGTCATGTCCTCGCCTTAGCCTTATGTTACTTTGGCTTTGTGCATGAAGTGTTCACACAGCTATGCAATAGACAGAACTGATTGAAAAGAAAAATAATCACTTATAAACACAGGGCATTTTTATTTGAATGAATTTGATCCAGTTAACTGCAGCACTTGTCAGTACTTTTGCTGACAAGTGTCCAAAGCTGGCAGAAAAGGAAGGCAGGAAAATGAACATGCTAGTCTCAGTTGCAACACTAGCATACACTGTCCTGTGATGTTTGACACAAATCTGGTCTTAGATTTCCTCTTTTTATTTCAGTCACAGTCACTGAGTATAGAAAATCATTAACAAGCATGCATTTAATGAGTATTTGCACCTTCTCTCCTGTACCAGCCACCTCCAAAAGTGTGGTTAATTTTTTCTAGGATTATCTCCACCTTCAGTTTACATCAAATAAACAACTACACAACTCCTAAAAACTGATGCATAAATATAGGATGTGTGTTAAGAAGGCAAAAATGAAATAACTGTACAGTTCTAAGTATCTTATTGCATATATAGGGCAGACTAAGGAAATAGACTATTAAATTACTATTGTAATTTAATTTGTCTAAACCCTCATGCCACGTGGCAGGAAATCATTTCACAAATACAGTGAGACATGTCCGATCTCTCTTGAAAGTCTGCTATCTATATACACTATTTAATGATACTGTTAGTGTATTTGAAGGAAGAATGAAACCTGATGTCAAATCAACCTGCAAAAATTACTTGCAAGTTATCAGTAACAAAAATCGCACAGTGACTCCCAAGTGTGAAAATGTAATAAAGCCATGCCATAAAACATCTACTTTATTTTCAAATACATAAATTTCCCATCACTTTGGGAGAACATTTCTTTGATGAAAATGTATTCATTCTTCAGTATCTCACTCAGAAGTTTAGATGAATTACCGGAGAAAAGAGTGATGAAATAAACCTTGCCTTGCAGGTGCCATAGTCCTCAGCTGAGGCTCTTTGTGTTTTTTAAGCCTATAAATCTTGAAATGTATGAAAATAAACTGTGTCACAGATCTCTTAAGTATAACTGTACATGAATGTGAACAATACCCTATGGACCAAATAGATAACATCTTTCTGAAGTCACTGGGAATAGACAGCTCACTTATGATAATTTTTGTACTGCAATTCTAAATATATGTTTAAATACATGTAAATAAATAGATCTATGTAAATGACAGTTTCCTATTTCCCCCTTACCCCCCCCCCCTTTTTTTTTTTTAATTTTTACATAAAATACTCTGTTCTCAGGAAAAAGGAAAAAAAAAAAAAAAAAAGAGATGAACATTTTTCAAACTGTGCCAAAACTTAGGTACATTAATCTGTGCACAGATCTGAGAAGGAACAAGTCTGTTTGCAAATAATTGGTTGTTAGAATTCAGTGTGATTTCAGAACTCTGACAGTCAAACAATGAAACAAATGTGAAACTGTTAATATATTTGTAACCCAATCTATTCTTACACTGTAGAACTTCCTACAGATTCACGTGAAAGTTTATAAAATTTGTAAAGGTATGTACTCAAATTCATTATAAATCTATCAAATCTAGTCTCTTACATATTATCTTACCTCTCCCATAACTGCAATAGGTGTCTCTCCTGTGGCCTGAGCAACGCGATGTTCTACTAAGTAAAACATGTATTCATCATAAAGCAAGCGGATCAGATGAAAAGAGCCAAAGCTAGCAGCACTGCGCAAGGTTAGATCTCGAATCACCATTGAGCTATTCAAAAATGGAAAAAAAACATCTGTGTTATATGTCATCGTCACATTAATGCTTATCCATACAAACATTTCAACTCAAAAACAATATTCTCACAAACAACGTTATGCACAATGTCTGACTGATGGTGTCTTCGGAAAGAGGTGTTCAGGAAAGGCAATTATTTGATTTTCTCTTTTTGCAGAAGATGTTGCTGGCCACCATGTTAGAAAAGAAAAAACTGGATTTTTTTTTGTTTTCCTTGTTCCTTTGCTTTCCTATCTGTATAACCACCAAGATTTGTGCATTTAGGTTTCCCAATAAAAAGGTTTTACCATGATTTTAATAATTCAAAGTTTAAACAAAATTAGAAAAAGACTTCTGTGTATGTCTTAGATTGACAAATTCTGGTATCTTCAGCAAGTAGCTGACATAATCATTTTCAAAGAACCAGCTTTACACTCACAACTGATTCAATAAGCAGCTAACATGGAATGTTAACTTGCTTTAATCCACTTTCTATACTGTAAAAAAAGTTTACCTTAGCTAATAATCACACATATCACACTGTATTAATAAATAAAATTAAAAATAGTGGCTTAATAACTGTACAGTTATTCAACCCAGAAATTCCACATTCTGTTTCTAACTCACAACAAAATTCTACCTGCATTTCATATGGCCTTCTAAACAGCAAGAGTATCAGTTAAGTCCTTGCCAAGTTGTAAGTGTCTCTGAGTTTGATGTTAATAGCAATTTTCTGGAAAAAAAGCCACCCACATACCTTTGGTAACTTAGTGACTCACAGTTTGATGTTGTATCTGTCAAACTTACTACAGTGAACAATTCAGCGAGTAACATAACAGTTAAAATGTTTTACAAGTATTAAATACTACCTGTAGAAAGACCATTTTAACAGAAATTGCCGTGCTGCTTTAGGAAAGCTGGGTCTTCCTTCATATGGTTTCAAGGCTTGCATCATAACATTATCAAGCCAGGCAGCCCACTGCTCCAGAGTGCTTTGCTGTTGAAGAGTCATTTTGAAATCTGTTTCTAGCCTCTGAACCATGTTGTCATCACACTGGCACACCCAGGAAGCCTGCTCCTGTTAGAGCAAATAGCAGCACTTGAATTAACAGTATATGAAACAAAGCACAGAATGCAATTCATTCTTAAAGGTTAAACAATTCTGTGGAGGAAAAGGACAAAAAATGCTTATAGAACAAACTAAAAACTAGTTTTTGTTTTTATGTCTGTCACAATTTTGTTCAAAGAAAGTAGGTGGGGAAAACACAACACATAGAATCAGTTGTCATATGCAGAAATAAAGAACAATGAAAATGACACAAGTATGTTTTAGTTTTCCACATTTGTTTTCAGAAGATATCTTTTACTTTCTTTGTTGATGGTTTTTCTACTGAAATATTTGGGAATTGTCAATTTTTGTTGGGACTGCTGACATGCCAATCAGAAACACCAGTTAAGTGGGGGGTCTAAAATAATAAGAAAACGAACAAGAAATGAAGTGCAAGGTTCCTTCCAGTATGAACAAGATAACTTGAGTTATACCATCTTACAAAATAAAGTTTTGTACATGAACAAGAATTGCTTTATTTGCTGGGTGTATGTTACACATATACACATGTACAAAATTAACTGCAAAGAAATGGAGAAACATGATTGCATATAACAGTGAACACTTTGTTCAGCATTATCAAGATTAAATGAGTCTAGTGGGACACTTAAAAAACTAAGAGATAATGTGAAGACTCACTCAAGCCCTATACTTAAACTTTAGCTATCATGCGCTAAGTTAACACCTCAACATTAGCAGGCTGTGTCTACATTAACTTATTAGCATAATTAACATTTTGCATCCTTGGTCAAGTACACCACCCACACACATCATCCAATGATGTTTCAAGAACAAGTCTGAGGTAAATTAGAAGAGATTTAAAGGTCCTTCGAAGACAGCTGAAGGATTCAGAATCACAGGCAGTGTTTTCTGCAGTCCTCCCAGTAATGGGAAGAGCGGTGGAAAAAAAACAAGTGATCAGCGAATATTAAGATACTTGAAGGTATGCACGTGGAGGGGGCAACACAGCTGGTAACAGGGCTGGAGGGCATGTCCTATAAGGAGAGACTGAGGACACTCAGGTTGCCCAGCCTGGAGAAGAGGAGGCTAAAATGACATTAGCTCTCCCTGCAGCTTCTTGAGGAGGGAAAGTACTGAGAAAGGTACTGGGCTCTGTTCACTGGTCATCAGTGATTCAGGATGGACAGGATGGGAAAAAATTGTGCCACAAGATGTGGCAAAACATTGGAACAGTCTTCCTGGAGATGTGGTTGATACACTCTGTATGTCAGTGTTCAAGATGTATTTGGACAGTGCCCTAAAAAATACACTTGAACTTTTCGTTAGCCCTGTAACAGTCAGGCAGCATGACTTGATCTTCATAGGATCCTTGTAAACAAGCTTTTAAAAATTCTAATGCTACCATTCATATTCAATATTCATCATTCAATACCATTCATAGTTTACATATTGTTGTATAATCTAACTGCGTGTGTTAAAATATATTTATTAAAAAGTATATAAGAAAAGTATAAAGAATAAAACTGTCACTAGCAAACTGAGTTTTATATGTAAAATTATCTCCTCACAAAAACAACCCAACAGAGAACTTCCAGTCATCTGGAATATTTCACTTTGTTGGGCAAAAGGAAAACAACACTTCAATGAAGGTGTAGAATCATGTGGGAAACCTTTTTTGAAGGCTAAGTAGAAACGAATTCTAATCTTTATTAATCTAATAACTACTCTGGAAATCTCATACTCTTAAGCACAGATACTTAGACAAAACATACTAATGTAATTGTATCTGAACGAATGAAACAGCCTCTACTAAAAACAACATTACACATTTAATTGTTTTCAGAGACATTCAGGAGTTGTGCTCCCGAGACTGAATTATGCAGTATCATTTATGATGTTAAGAAGACATTACTCATGATATACCCATTCAAAGAATGTATGTGCTCCATGTTTTCAGAGAATTTGGAATAATTTGAGTACTTGAAATGAATAAGTACTTGGAAATAGATAATGGCTCCAAGTTCTTACTTTCCTGAAGTACATTTGAACTGAGTTAGTGTATCTATGAATCATTAAAACTTTATCATGTTTTTTTCCTGAAAGAATAATGACAGCTAATGAAAAAATTCAAAATCTTTGGATTTGGAGGAAACAAAATTATTTTTCAAAACTTGTTACTTGAAGCTAAATTTTACCTGAACATTGGCAAAATCAACACGGTTAAGATCATTGAGCATCTGGTTGATTTGAGAAGTGTTTTGAAGAACAGCACGAGCTGCTTGAGCCAGGTGGTTTAGAGATGTGTATCTTCGCAGAGTCTGGGCAAAGGCACTTACAGCGGCAACCTATGAAGAAATTAATTTATTTTAAAATCTTGTACCACCTTATCTTAATCTTAAATCTACTACCTTAAATCTTAATCTATCTGTAGATTAATGCACCTGTCACTGTTTATGTTCATTTTAATATTCTGTATTAACGATCCATAATGTGAATTACATTTGTGTAACAGATCAAAACTATTTTCTTTTTTCTTTTTAATTTTTTGACAAAACTGATTTATTTCCTCTTCCATCATTTGACGATGTGCTAAACATGAAATTTAGCATTAAAGTTAAAATACTACTGCTTTTATATGCTACTGCACACTGGGTTTGTCAAATGCAAGAATAAAGCTGGAATAGTTTTGTCTACCTTGGTTTGTATCATCCTCTGTGGAATATTGTTCATGGCATTTGAAAGCCAACCTTCAAGGCTTTTTGCAAAATTGCGAATGGCTTGGGTCAAGGCACCTGCACATTAAAGAAGAAAAAACCAAATGAAAAGAAAGCAAAGTACCTGTTTTGAAATGTTTTGCATCTTCAGTACTTTTATGCTCAATATTTAGATCCATCCCTTCTACTTATTGGAAGACAAAACAAACTAGGGTTCAAAACGCCTAATTCAGATTCAGATTATGCAATGATTTAGTTTTGTTTTAATGAACAGTTCGAACTTCCTCACCTAATCTTTCAAGAAGCTGATGACAAACAGTATTGTTTTGGGCATTTCTATATAAAAACATCTGTAATTGCAGCAGTTATTTCCCATACACTGAAAATTTCTATCGCAAACTCTCAGCTTTCCATTTCCTTTAAGTACATATATTAAAGAGCAAATCTCTGTAAAATTTCTGTTACTGGAACACTGCAGTTTCCTCAAATAGACCTGAAGCAGTGTGAATCAATGTCATGGTGCTTATTTCCACTTTAAAGAACAAAATCCAATAAGGATAATATAATCCAACAAGCAAAATGTAAGACTAAATTCCACTGACAGAAAGTAATTATTCAAGCAGCTGCGAAATCTTTTTTCCTTTACTACAGCATCCACAGAATTGCTTGGGTAGATGACAAGGATTTTGAGGGGAATTGAAGCTTTTGCAGCAGTCGGCAGTATAGTCAAAAAGAAAGTTTTACGAGGGCTACTCTGAAAGTAATGCCTTTATTTTATGACGGCCCATGACATCAGAGGCAGACGTTGGAGATATAACAGTAGATGCTGATCTTTCCTGCCAGTATTCCATTCCATGTTGTTGTCGTGTGACAGATGGCAGCAGAGAAGCAGTTAGACAAAATGAAGTCTAAATGGAAGTGTGGATGAAGTGTGCCTCTGAATTCCTCCATGTGCAAAAAAATTATACCCGTTGACACTCACTAATAACTGCTGAACCGTTATGGATACCAAACAGTGGATGTGAGCAATGTGAGGTGGTGGGTGGTACATTGCAGCAGTGGTGACAGTGAGTGAAAGACAAGCCCTGTTCCAGTCATGCCAATATTTATGAGTGCAACATGCAAGCTCTTGTTCATCGCAGGTGAAAACGCACAGCTAATGGTGGTGCCTATGTATGAAAAACAGTGTCTGGTAGCTCAAAATTTTCTCTACCAAGTAGAGATTACTATGCTCTTCATAGCTGTTGAAGTATCCATGAAAATAACCAGGAGGTATAACTTTCAGATCAACCCATGTAGTTATTAAAGAAGGAGGAAATTAAGTTTTTACACAAGGAACTGCACATGGAAAAAAAGAAAATCTTATCTCTTGAGTAGTAAAAATTTTGCTTTCTAATACTTACCACTTGCTCACTGACCTAATAGTGTCCATTCAAACAGCTGGGAAAAGAGACAAAAATAAAAACTGCAGTTTTCTAAAAATGGAGAATCACTGCAGGTGCAAAAATGAAAAGTAAAAACACTAGAAAAAAGAAACTACATTTACTTTCAAATGATTTCAGCTACATGTGAGAAGAAACTGTAGAGGTAAAGACTGGGTTCTGTTTATGGAGCAGAATACTTTCTGGTAGACTAAGGCTGACAGAACATGTCTTTGAGAAATACTCTTTTTACTGTTTGAATTACTGATAAACACTTTATTCAAGGAAACTGTTACTGGAAGATCAATTAATTAAAAATAAGTATTTCATTCTATCGTTTTCACACTACTTTGAATTTTTACTATTAATGCATAGAAATCATATTAGCAACCTACATAAAGGAGCACACATTTGTATGCCTAGGTCTTACAAAGTATCTCAATAAGGTAAGTATTCTATGGTAACAGATGTTCGTTTGTTTAACCTTGAAGTTTTCACATAGAGAACAAGCTCTTTTCTTCAGTTCTATCCATTATTCTGCAAACCTCTGATACTTTGTAAATTCTTTCTCTGCTCTTACTAATTAACTATGTTTTCATTTCTTTTATTTCTTACCTACAGAGCAAGAAAATGCAAAGTGGAAGGAATAATAGAAATACCCTATGAATTATATTTAGTAACCTAAAGAAAGTATTACTCTTATCACTTCTGATTCATTTACTATTCTTTTTCACCTAATTATTTATTATGAAATTACTTTCACCACTGCAAAGTTAATCTCCCTTAAAAATAAATATGGAAATGCAGCTCAGTTACATCTTTTAAAAAGTCTAGGAGGAAAACTAGGAGGAAAGTAGAGGAAGAAGTGGAAGAATTCTAAGTTTTGAAGAAACATTTCTTCTTTATAACTATATCAGATAAACAAACGTCAGTATTGTATGGTGAATTTCTAATGAATTTTTCTATATTTAATATTTATCTTATTAAATATAGAATTTATCTTAGACTAAATCTTTAAGCATGCATCCACTCATTGCCAAAAACTTATGGACCTGCATCCTCAATGCTTTCTTCATGTTATCATGAAAGAATAACAGAGCACAAACTTTTCAAAGAATTATACAATGAGTTCACTTCAGAGTAAAGGGCTTGAATTAAGTCAAATGTTACTAGACATACACAAAATAATTTTGCAATCAGAATTACTGACAGAAAATTTGATTTGGATGAGAACCTAACAATCCAGAGTCTGAATCTCAGCTGAAAGCTCTCTAACATATAAATCTCAAAAACAAACAAACAAACAAAGTCTTTTTCTGAAAGCTTTACAGTCTCTCCAGTACTTTTTGGCTGCTTGAATTTGTGTAATACAGTGTGAAAATACATTGAATATAAATTCTTCTCCTGTGACAGAAACTCCCAGGCAACTTTTCTGCCCATTCTGCACAGGTGAAGGTGCAAAAAGTCTACCGTGCAGAAAAAAAGATCCACTGCCAGTACAACACAGAACGCAAGTCTATTGCCAAGGATATTAGACAATAATTCAACTTATTCCTTATTCAGACAGCATTATATTTTTCTTAAGAAAAGGAATTTGAACATTTTAAGCACAGGCATTTTTCATTCATTTTGTGGGTACTGAACATTTCAGCTAACAAAGTTAACACAGGATAAGGCTAAATCAACAATATTTTCCTCAATTATCTTTTCTACTCCAGTAATATCTATCACACAGGTGAATAGCACAGAAATTTTTCTTGAATAAAAACACAAAAAATCTAGAAAAATTGTAACTTGAAGAATCATGCTTACTTAATCACTAAGCTTTGTTTTTCCCATTTTCAGCAGCTGCTGTTGTTACCTTTCCATGTACTTAGAAAAAAGAAATGAACTTAATTTTGATAAAGCATTTACAGTCCTTTTCTCTAAACTTTCTCAAACTTTCCCATAAGCTAGTATTTTCCCACAGAAAATAATCAATTTATATACTTTGCTCTGCTCCATTCTTGTCATAGTCAATCATTATGTACAATCTCTAAGTTTTCTCTTGGCCTTTTGCAATGGTTTAGAATTAGAATTAGAAGATATTCTAATTCAAAAGTAGGAGTTACAATACTAATTATTCTTTAAATAGTAAAGAGAGAATTTTTATGTACCATTGTTACAGGAAAGCTGACTAAAAAAGCAGCTGGTCCTGAAGATAAAACCAAGAAAATACATAGGTTGGTCTGAAAGTAATGCCTCCAATTTATTTCCATGGAAACTACAACAGATACAAAAAGCAAGGTAACACTGATAGAGCAAATTCCCAGCTAAAAAACTCTATTTGTCAGCACAGTTACCACCATTAGCTGTCCATTTTCAACAGCAATGAACAAGCACCAGCAGAAATGACCCACTGTTGCTATTATTCCTGAAATACACCATTACAGCCTCACTGTACTCACATCCACTGTTTGGTATCTGTAAAGGTTCAATAAGCATCAGTGAATGCCAGTGGGGGCCATTTTTTCACACGAAGGAATTCAGAGATAAATCTTTGCTTCACCCACACTTCCATATCAGACTTCATTCTGTCTGACTGCCCCTCTGCTGCCATCTATCACATGGCAACAACATGTAATGGAATACTGGTGGGAGCATTCAACCTCTGCTGAGCAACATCTGCCTCCAACGTCATGGGCCAAGATAATAAAATAGGAGACATTACTTTCAGATCAGACGTAAAATATTATATGGCTTCAACTCTGATTGCTTTCTGAGCAAAAAAACTGGAATGTCAGAAAATAAAGGCAGAAATCTGTTGGGAATTATTTGTCCTGGGAACAGAAGTATGCTATGTATCAATAAACCTGATGTGCAGTCCCAAAACAGATACTTTCAAACAGAGTAAGTAACATTTTTAAAAGATGAGAGCTAATTCTAGCAAGAAAAAAAAAAAATAATAGCCCGAGAGAGACCTGATATCTGTCGTTACTAATATGAGATGATTGCAACCCATTTTCTTGACATCTTTTATTGGTAATGCCCAATGCACCTGATTGAAAGACAAGATGCCATAAACTAAAGAGATACCATGTAAAAACTTGCACTTAGGTTATGCAGAAGAAAGTGAAAGACAGTGAGAAAAGCAGGTTTGATAAAAAAGCCTTATAGAGTTATAAACACTCAAACATTCCATGGCTGTTTCACCTTTTTAGCCAGAAAAGACTGTGTTGTTGGAAGTGAGAAATTTAATTCAACATATTAAATGTTATAAACAGATTTATGAGTTTTTAAATTGTTGCTTATTTTCTAGAGATAGATTACACTCCATAGGAATATTCCTTTGACTTATATATTTTCATTAGATAGAAAAGTAAAACATGAAATATAAGCAAATGCAAAATAATTTACAAAAGTTATGGTTGTCAATAATTGCACACATATGGGGAAGTATTTTTCCTTTATTCTGCTAAATAGATGAAAAGGTAAACTATGTCTATCTCTGTCAGGACCTTACTCTTTCCTTCTACCCCATCTACCTTTCTAATGGCTGATCTTCAGATTTTACACACTCCAGTTTCAATTTTTTCTCTCATACATAGTTTTCTGAAACCTAATTTTGTTTCACTGACAAGCAAAAAGTCAATAAAACTTCTCTAGAATGCAGTACCTGTGAATATTCTTATGAATTGCTTATCACTGCTGGAGTTACTATACAGGAACGTCTGTTTGCAGTAGGAAAAAAATAGCTTTGTCAGCTGCAAAGCTACTTCAGGCCCTAACTTTTTAAAATACATGAATCTTATTTAAAAAGGTGATTGGATTGCTTCATGGAAAGGATATAATACTTACGCATTAGAAGAACTATACTTTATTACTAAAACAATTTCATTTCAATAGAAAGACAATAGATGTTATCTAGAGGTGCTAACTTTCTTTAGATAAATTGATTTTCTGCCAAGAACAGCCATATATACATTTCTAGAGCAATGATGGATTCTAGTAAAATTAACATTCAGTAGAAAGATATGGTAATGATTGAATGGACAGACAGTTAATGATTCTTTCTTATAGGATATATGAAGAAGAAACAGTAGATCAGAATTAAAAATTAAATTAAAAAAGAATTAAAAATTCAGAATTAATTCTTCATTGCCATAACAGCCTTTAAAGTTGATTCTTTTTAATAAGTAACAAAAATCGAAATGTCAAAAAATGAAAACACAAGGCTCAGATACATTTTTTCTGGACTGGTTAAATATTAATTTGTAATGTTGGTAAGGTAAAAAACAACTTCATTTAATGGAAATACTCACTGACATTAGCTTACACTGGTTCAGGGGTCACAGTGCCTCTTAAGTACTTTTCATGTGAGACTTGATCTTGAAAATTAGACCCTTCAACTGCACTAAGATCCTCAGATATTTTAAAATATAAGGCATATATACATTGTCTCTCAGGACAACTTTCTACACAAAAGACTTAGGGATAAAAGATACACAGTAGTTCTCTAGCTTTAAAAATAATACCAAAAACTTCCCCATGTGCCATAAGACCACACACATATGAAAAAAAAATCTCTTTACAAAACGTTTTGTGTTCAACTTACTAGGAATAGGTCTAAGGACGTCAGGAATGAGAATCTCCACCAAAGCCTGGTACATCACGTGATCACAGTTACACATCCATTTCAGAATAGATTCATGTTTGCACAGAGTAATCAGTTTTGCTTTTGGAAGTCGACTTTCTATTTCACTCAGATTGCTGGAATGAACAAATGCAGCAAATGAATAAATGAAAATGCATTTATAGTAGATAAAAAACAGCAATTGGTATTAAAATCATTACTTAATAAATAAGTTACAGATATCTCAACTACAGTCAACAGAACTTCTTTTCACTTTGTGTCACCTGAAACTGGATTAGAATGCTTGCACAGATCTGGTATAGCCCATGAATTATATAGAGGTATGAATCCGGTAGGCTTAAAAGAAATGGATAGAACACTGTGAGAACACCTTCATGATAGTTGTCTAATAAAAATAATAATAATTAAAAAAAAAGACAATTTTTTCAAGACTGCGATTTGCCATATAAGCTGTGTATATTAACATGCCAGACAATATCAATTTATTTTTAAAATGCACCATAACAAGAAAAGATTTTTACTCTTATAGTAAAACCAGTAATGTCTATGCCGTTGTTTGACACTTCTACTATGTTATTATAACAATCAGTACACAAAGACAATACATTTACTGACCTAGGTTCATTAACAGTAGTACCATCGGGTGGAGTAGAGGGAGAATAGCGCCAGAAAGTTTGCCACAACTTTTCTATCAGGCTGAATTGAAGATTCACTACCACATCCAGAATTGCCTGAGAAAATAAAATGCAAATACAGATTGTCTTTTACCTAGCTTCCCTCTAGTCCCAACTCCAAATAGAGAAATGGCTTTTTTTTATTTTATGTAGTGGAATAAGGGCAAACTTCTCATTTCTGAAATGATAAATACTATTTTTACAGTAGTAAAATCGTATGTATAGTAAGTATGTACGCTAAGTATTGATAGTAAAATCGATGTACTATCCAACATCATAAGATGCTTTGCACAGAGAGTAAGACCAAGTGTATATGCACAGAAGCCTCTAGAAATGAACATAAATTATGTAAATGTGTCAGAGAAATTTTCCCAAAGATAGTTGATATGACTCCAGACTCGCTGTTTTATTCATTTCGCTTATTCAGTACAGTTTTGAAAACCCTTTTTAAGTAGTTTTAAAACACATATTTTTCAATATTAAGTTTATTTTAATCTTCCCAATGTTTCTTTAAAACGAGAAAAAAAAGTTTTTTTTAAATGTAAGCAATTAAATGACAATTTAACATTTTTTACACTTCCTATTGACAAAGCCAAAGATCTGCACATACAATTTTAAGTCTGGCTTCTCTAAAAAATTTGGAATACATACATATGATTACATTTTCAAGAATACTACTTTTTAGAATACATTTTTGTTCTAATGGATGAAATGCTCCCAATAGCATTTTTCCTAGTGACCTTTCCAGTAGAATTAGCAAGATAATGCCCTTCCAGTGGAATAAGCAAAATATCCTGAAGCCAGCTGTAGAATGGCTGTAGCATATCCAACATTACTATCTTGCACTGATTCTCACTCACTAGAAATAACGAACCTAAAAGAAACCCAAAAAGATTTGTAGGAATTATAGGAAATACCTCACAGTGCTCTCGATAAAGACTCTGCAGTGATTTGATGTCCTCAAAGGTTGTACCATCTGGTAGGGAAGATATTTCAACTTCACCAAACTCTGGAAGTACTCGAGATGCATCTGTTTCCATAACAACACAATGAAAAAACACAGTTATGAACAGTGCCTATTGTTCCTATGATCAGGAAAAGACTTAAGGATGATACAAAGAAATAAATTCTAGAATGTCTATACGCTCACAGTGAAGATTCTTTCACACTTATTCTATGTTAAAATTGTGAAGAAATTCAGACAGCATTTTTGAAGTAAAAAAAGAAAACAAAAAAACAGCTGCAACTATTTGTCTCTTTCCACTTACAAAAACTACAGCACACTCTCAAAAAAGATCACTAGATGTTTAACCCATGTTGTTAATCAATAAAATGCACTGTAACAAACATATAGGGAGGAAATGTCATCCCAGAATATCAACATACATGTGTATATATCACTTTGCACAGCAACTGTGTTGTGATTTACAGAATGTCAAATATATCACATAAATAAAGAATTTGCATATTCCTCTTTTTATACTTAAATGATTAATATTAAATATTACATAAAACCTGATAAATAAAACATAAAGCTTAAGTGCGTTTTTGTTCTGTTGTTAGTAGAAATTTTAAAAAGCCATTATAACTTTAGAAACAATTTTTGTACTTGTGTGACTCGATATTTGCAGCGGAGTTCATCTTGTCTATTTTTGTAGTAGAATAAAAAAAACATGTTTTAATACCTAAAAACTGCTGATGATGTTGACTTTGGGCAATTACAGTTTGTTCAACAGATGTGCCTGTCTGTTGACCACTTCCTGTGAAGCCATCTGCAACTCCATCCACTTTCTGCATGGGCTTATACCTACAAAAATATCAATTTCAAAATTATCCTTTTTGTTAGCTTCTTCATAGATGAGCTCACACAGGCACAGGCTATGTTTACCCTGATTTCTCCATCTCAAAACAAAAATTTACAGAAAAGTACAAAAATAATTTACAAATTTTTATTTTCTTTGCAAATGACAGAAGAAACATGATTACTAAGGGCAGCCAGCACATTACTAATGAAGAATTTATAAAAGTTATATTACAGCACCACTACCAATTTCTTTTGGAGTTTAGTGTAAGAACAACATAATCATTAGACTGGCTAATTTATGCCATTTTAAGAAAAATAACACTGCTATCTGAAAACAACAAAAATGGAAGACTTTGAAAACCTAAATCCTTCATACTGAGGTCTCAAAATCTTTAATAAGGTCTAAAAAATAAAAGTACAGTTATTCAAACAGGAGTGTTAGACTGGATGGTCATCTGACATGCAATAGGTCATGTCTGTGACTTGCAAAACACCTGAGAGTTTACTCTCAGCTCTTAGTAGCAAGAATTTGGCTACTTTGCACTTTTAAAATAGAATTGTAGTCAGTGGAAAAGAAGAGGAGCACCAAAGCTGAACAACATGTCATCAAACAGTGTTATTGTGCTCTTTGTACTTGTTGTAGTTTCCATAGAAATGTATAGGAGACATTACTTTCCATGCAATATAAGTACTATAGCATATACAGTACATTATGTAATTGCTAGTGCAAGTTGTTTTTTTTTTTTCCTTAATCAAACTATATCATGCTTGCCTTTAACTGTGCTGCATGTAAAAAAAGAGGTTGATGTCTCTTGCCAAGTTTAGGGATCATAATTATCATATAATCTTCACTGGGATGAGTATTTTTCCACAACTTCATATCTCAAACTTATTGGCAGCATTATGGCAAAATGGTGTGGTCCTACACTTACTTAATTGTTCCTGACAGGTTTTGAAAGAAAGGAAAATACTGAATATTGTTAAAGTGTCTGATTCTGGATTCTCCAGTCTAGCCTGTGTTTAGAGAGAGTACAAGTGTCCCGTATGAGATAATCTCTCTGTTAAGAAGAAATAACTAACTTTATGTGTTTTTATGGGAGAAGCAGCAGTGTTGACCATAGCTGCTATGTCTTAGTGTTACTGCTTGTGATAAGACTGTGCTATTAGATACCCTTCTCTTGTTAAGAATTAATGCACTTGTTTGCTTTTGTCTTACAAACCAGATTCAAGAGGCGGGGAGAAGAAAGACTCTCCTTCCTATCTCAAGATTACTCTTATTAGCATAAAGTCTGCTCTGCATCAACAGCAGAGTATCTCTAAACCTGGCTAGGGAAGAAATAGTATATGATTAAATCTGGGCTAAATTTAGTGTTGTATTATAAATACAGGATTGATTTATACACTTGAACTGGTACCACCCAGAAGGGGGTGATTTTTTTCTCTCATTTTTATGCCAGAAAATAAAGCTTCAGCAATTTTAAAAATAAAGAGTTGTCAGTGTCATCACCAGCTCCTCTGATGGAGCTGGCATATTGATGTACAGTTTTACCACACAGCAGAGACATTGCTGGCTATAAAAAATAATGCACAGATCACGAAAGCATTCAAAATTCATTTTCTAAATTATTGTATCAGACATCTTTCCTTAGTATTTTAGCCATAAAGAACCTAACTTTGATGAATCTTTTCAGAAATAAAGTCAGGGCCATATGTAACTCTATTTTCGAAATGAGACTTCTCACTCCAGTAAAGTATTTAGGTCAATTCCTAACATAGGATAGTGATCAACAGTTAATGTTGTCTAATGATGATATCATATTTATCGTGTAACTTCATGACAAATGTTCGCGTTTAAAATCCTGAAGTAACAAAGTGCAGAATTTAAAATGCTAGATGCAATTCCTTTTTCAGTATTTAGGTTCATTTATTTTTATGTCAGGTACAAGTGGATAGTGCCAAGCAATGCAGATGCTCAATTAAACTTCAGTTAAATTTAGCATGCTAGACAGAATGTTCACTCAAAATGTAACATAATTAAAGCACTGGAATGGGTTGCCCAGGTAATTCCTGCTCCTGGAGGAATTTAAGAGACATATGGATATGTCACTAAGGAACACAGTTTAGTAAGGGACTCTGCAGGCCAGATTGATGGTTGGACTTGATGATCTTGAAGGTGTTTTCCAACTCAGATGATTCTGTGATTCTGTATCTTATTATAGGAATTAATAATTTTCAACACCATTAGAAAATCACTTAAACCAATGAATGGAAAAGAAAAGAAAGTATTATTGTCAGGAGCTTCACATGAAATGTAAGCAAAGAGCAGTTAACAACTTAAGATCGGCAGTTGAAGTACAGGTGGATCTCTGGCACCTTAGATGAGAATGGCTAGCCAAAGGAAAAAAAAAAGTAGGTATTGTAAATACAAGCAGAACTAAGCTTGCGCTAACAATATGCTTAGATTTAAATCTATTTTTGTGATTTATCACTAGTTCACTCTTTGTGAGAATGAGCTAATGTGCTAAAGTATGTACACTGTGTACAAATACCATGTTCCCTTCAATGGGGGAAAATCAGGTTTAAAAATTAACAGTAATCAAGATAGTATAAGCAGTTTGCAATATCACAGGCAACAAATACTAAAGCTACTAACTACAGAAAAATCAAATATATTAAAAAAGTACTATACATACAAAATCTACAAGTAACAAAGAAATATATGAAAAATATTTGGCAGGCTTCAACATTTTTTCATATTCAGATCAAGCTGATGCTAGTTACTGTTTAGTATTTGAAGGAACTGAAAACCTTTCCAAGTAAACTGCTATGAATACATCACAAACTTTCAAACAAAATATACAGATCATATTTCAATAAAAGTATTGGATCCTGAGATATCCCTAATCTAGGAGCTGAAATAGAACTTCCTTGTTTTTTAAGCCACAATAAGCTCAACTTCCCAACCATGCTATACATAAAAGATATGTGTGTGATCTAAAGAAAGGCTATGGATGTTTTCTAAACAACTCCATTTGGGATTTTTTTTAGTAGTTCATCACGAAGTTCTCTTATTATCATTTTAGAATACTATCACAGTAGAATTGCAGCAGTTTTACAGATGCTAGTATGTCAGAACTGTAATGCATCTATTTCTATGTGCAAATGGAGAAACAGTATAAAAATCCATAATTTCTCTCCTGTCCATTAATGCATTTCCTTCTCTAAAAAAAATCAATAAATACTTGATGTTTCCGAATTACAATGGCTTGGTTTAAAGGTAATATTTGACTAAATAGTACGTACAAGAAACTTGGGAAAACTGACGAGAATAGAAAAACACAACTTATCTTCTACACAAAATAAATATTTACAGTAAATAACGTCAACAGCAAGTGATGATTAATGAGTTCTGGTTAGAACAGTATAGTTATCAGTTAATGAATTTATTAAAAAATACTTTAGTTAAATGTCCAGTTCCCACCAATGAAAACAAAAACACATGCCTGGTGTGTACAAGAACTGAGATATTTAAAATTAATATTAAAATTAATTTCCAAGCTGGAGGTTTACTTATGGAAATGAAACTGAAAACAAATGAGGAATGCCCTCGGGAGTAGACAAGAATGTCTATTCCAGCTGTCTGAAATGGACATATAGATTATGAGAAAGATTTCACAGTAAAACTGAACTTTAATTTTTGTAACAGCTTTAAAGATGTCTTGCTTAATATACTCCTGTTCCACTAATGTTTTATGAAATCAGAAATCTTAGATATTTCTCTTCAGTATAACGTGGCAGAATAATAATACAATTCAAGTACAAAGCAATTTCAAGTAAGTGTACCATTTCCCTTTTTTTTCCCTAAAATTGTCTGTTCTTTGTAGTTTTTTCTATGTGCATATCCTCACATTCTTCCACCAAAAGCACGTGCCTTTGTTATCTCTTCCACTCTTGTGGAAAAAAAAATATTCTTCACTCTTCCCAGAAAATACCACTTCTTCCAAATACTTCTGTAATTTCACAGATCTTCAGCAAAAACAGATGCTGAGAGCAAATACTTGAACCAGCCAACAGGCAAGCTATTATGGTCATGCTAGTTCTTTCAAGGAGAGAAAATAAATATCAAACTGACCTTAATCATAAGCAAATTATCCATAAAACCATACTGAAATGAAAACATCAACATCTGAAATTAAAGGTCCTGTTTCTTTTCTTCAGATTGTGTTAAAATAACTCTAGATAGTTCACAAGAGTTTGTTCTTACAACATCTCACTTTTTATTATTAATTTTTGCAAACTTATTTAAGTTTCTAGGTAAACATTCTTTCATGTTGACAGGTATGTGACTTCAGTGACATAAACTGCTTATTTGGCAAACTTCTATTTTTCACAGTAGGGAAGCTGAACAGAGTTCATGTTAGAATTTCATCTTTTCAGTGGAAAGGAAAGTAAAGACCTATGAACTAGAAATATTAATAAGTAAGTACTCATCTTCATTTCACACTTTACCTCTGTTTCTGCTGCATGGGCTGCTGTCTCATAGCCATATATTGCATGTCCTCCTGTAGTCGATTAAGAGGAGAATCTGGCTTGACACGAATCCCATAGTAATGGTATTTGGAGTTCCCCCTTTATGAAAGAGCAAGCATTGAAAGAAAAATAACATTAGTTTTATGCATATTCATTACATTCACTTTATATTCATTGACTGGAAAAGATTATGTACAAACAAGCCCTAACTCTCTTTCCATACCTGCCTTTTACAGGCAGGGTATCATTTTAGCACCTTTAGGAAATGAATTCACTCTCTTAAATATTACCAAACATTTTACACTTCGTTATGAAAACAAAACAAAACAAGGTTATACATACATATCTCATCAAAGTCACGAAGAAACACAATTCTTCATAATTTCCAAACAATAGACTGCATTTAATTTATGTTGCAGAGTATTTATCAGAATGTGAACAGTAAAAATTGGGAAAAGTAAAAATAATAACAACATTGGAAAAGCATTAACATGTTTGAAATTAATAAACATAACTGTCAGAAAACCAATGTAATGCTTACATACAGCTTTATGTATAGTTTTTAATATCAGAAAAGTTTCATACTCATAATTATTGCTTGCGTTTCTTATTATAGTTCAAGATGTCATTAACACTTACCTAGTTCCAAGTCTTCTTGTCCGTAACCCCATGAAAATTGACCGTATGAGTTTTCCAAAGGATGCTGCATTGACTGGATCCAGCTTGTGCTCCTGACAGTGTCGTAAGTAATGGTTGTAAAGGGTACTTCTAGGGAGGCTCACTCCTTCTGCAGTTTCATAATTGTCCAAAAGCCACTGAAGCTATTTCACATGTAAAACAGAAAAAAAAAAAACAAACGGAAAAAAATAATTTTAATTATTACTTTATTAAAAATATCTTAACCTTACAACATTAAATTATGACAGTTCAGAAGTCATTCTTCAGGCCTACTGAACAGAGATCCTCTAAATGCTAGCTATACCATGTTGTTTTAGGATCTTCAGAATTACCAGGAAATAGTGGAACTCATTACACTTTGATCTCAGGTAAGTGTCCACTTCTTAAAAATATTTTGATTCAGTACCACACACCAACTATGCTTTGGAAACAAATTGTTAGCACTGCAAAGAAATAAAATAATACAGAATGTAATTCATACTGTTTCACAAAACAAACTCATTGGATTAACAAGAGTTAGGTAACACATTAGCAAATGTAATAATTTAGTGCTTTTCTTTTTTCTTTGTCAGACACTAAAAGACATTATAAAACTAAACTGAATGGGATTTTTTTTTATATTTTTTTTTTTAATTATTTTTTGCTCTCAAATACACAGGGAAAAAAAAAACAACTACTGCATATGAGCCAAGGAACAATCTAGATAACATTGAAAATAATGGCAACAACTGTATAGCATTAGGGCTACAATAGTAAGTCTTGGCCTTCTTTCCTTCAGAAATGCTGGAAAATAGAAATGAATATTTTCATCTACAAAGTTAGGTATTTTTGGAAAACTGCAAGAAAAGAGTTTTCATGTCGTATCACTGGACTTTACGGTATACAAACACAAAACACTGTAGCTGTCAGTAATATATAAAACAAGTGAAAATGACAATTTAGCAGTGCTAGATTTAACAGTACACAAGAATAAAAAAAGAAATTACAAACAGTAGAGTTTGAGGACACACTTAAATTCCACTGCTTTTGTTTTTGGGCATGCTAAAATGTTCATTATCTTTCTCCAGTAATTGCTGTGGTTTCTGTTCCCTGAAATTCTCTTTAGATTTATCTTGGATGATTAATTTACTTTTTATTTGAATTCTATTTCCTTGTTTTCCTAACTATTTAAATCAAAGTAATTCTGTATAAACATTTAAATCTGCTATGGTCAGAGAACTAATCAGAACTCGGATTTAATTTGATCCCCCAATGAAACCACAAACCAAGGACACTGGATCTTATCAAAGCATCATTTCAATTGGAAGAGATACTTAAAGGTGATTTAGTCCAACTACCCTGTAGTGAACAGGGACACCTTCAGCTAGATCAGGTTGTTCAGAGCCCCATCCAGCCTGTCCTTGAATGTCCCAGAAATGGGGCTTCCACCACCTCTCTGAGCCACCTGTGCCAGCACCTCATCACCCTTGTAATAATAATAAAAAAATTCTTATATGTATTCTAAATCTCCCCTCTTCCTGTTGGAAATAATTACCACTTGTCCTATCACAACAGATCTTGCCAAAGAGTCTGTCCTATTCTTTCTTCCAGCCACCCTAATTTTCAAATATGCAAACAGAATAACTAAAATAAAAAACTATCAAGCTACATTAAAAGATTGATGAAGTCCATGTGTTATTTGGTGCTTTGCTAGACCGCTGCTTTGAATACTGAATTTACAATTGTTTTAATCACTTTGAGCAACTTACCAAAACAAATGAAAAAACTTTCTTTGAATTTACTCTAGAACATTTAAACAGCAGTTCCATATTTGCCCATGTCCATGTTCCTTGAGCATAAGCTCTAGAAAAATGTAACTGTGTAAACAGTTCGAAGACAAAAAATGTTATGGCTATGTCTGCACATAATATTGCATTTCAAATAGACAAAATGAAAAAGTAATCCATCATCTTTTTATTAGCTAATAGGTAACTACTTAAAAAGTCTTAAAATCACAGATGTTTTCCATATTGAGCATTTACTATTTCAAAATAAAAATGAAGAAAAATACAACTGTAAAAAACTTAAATCTGGAAGTATTATTTCACTAATGAATTCATGTAACATAATTTTACACAGAATAGCAGAATTGTAGGGGTTGGAGGTGACCTCTCAAATCATCAACTCCAACCCTTCTGCTAAAGCAGGTACCCCACAGTAGGTTGTGTAGTAAAGCACCCATGCAGGTTTTGAATCTCTCCAGAGAAGGAGTCTCCATAACCTCTCTGGGAAGCCTGTTTCTGTGCTCTGTCACCCTCAAAGGAAATAATTATTTGCTTATTTTCAGATGGAACTTACTGTGTTCCAGTTTGTGTTCACTGCCCCTTGTTCTGCCAGTGGGCACCACTGATAATAGCCTGCCTCTATCCACTGTCTGAGCTTAGAAATGGGGATAATTGTCTCCTTTAATGGTTGCAATTAATCTCTATTTTAAATCTATCACCATATTTATATTTATTTACACATACATATGTAATAGGTTATATGCTATTAAATCTATACTTAAATCAGAACCGATAAGGAATATTAAGTGCTATTACTTTGCCCAAAAGGAAAATCTGATTGACAAAAAATACCTTTTCCAGTTGAGTTCTCTATACAATATCACAGGTATTTTCTTCCAGATGGTTTATAACCTGTGATGATTCAATTTAAGCACACTTCATTCATTCTATGAATTTTTAACATATCTTATTGCAACCATAACCTGGCTGAACATAAACCAAGAACAAAACAAACACCATATCTAACAGAAAGATATGTCCATTCTCGTATTTTTTTTGCCTCATGAGTTGCTTCAATAATAACGGTTTTATATGATTTGTTAGATTATAGCCTGGAAGAAAAAGGGAAGTTAGTGTGTGATCTTAAAAGGACCATTATTTACAAATACTATAAAAGTATTCTAAACAATTTTTAAATTATATAATCATAAAACTGAGCTATTCAGGTTCAAATCATGGCTTTAATATTGACCATACTGTATGGCTAAGATGGTTAAAAGTATGATATATTTGCACAGTCAGACATGCTACATTGACTCCAACTCCAACTAAGCTGCGATGCTTATAGAATAGTAAAGTATCACTGCAGAAATCAATCAGAAGAGAAAAGAAGAAAGATAGAAATGGCAAATTCCTTAAAATAAGTGCACATTTAGGAAAAAAAAAATAAAAATACCATAAAGTTTATTATACATATCATGGAGTGAAAAACCAAGTATTTTCCACAAATCGATATGACGTGCAAAGTGGAAATTAATACTAATTCAATACACAATTTAGAATTCTATTTTAAAAACTTTTAAAGCCAATTATTTTAATAAATGTCAACTAGACTATTAAATGACAAATATAAGAACAGCTTAAGATACAAAGAACAATACTCTACATATTGTCCTTACTTGAGTTTTATGTCAATAAACACTGCGTTCTAAATAAGGTACCATATTTAGTAAGTTTCATCCAGATTGCAGCGACTTCTTCCAAAACGACTGAAGTGAAGGAAAAAATTGCCACAAAAATATGTATTTTTTTTTTCTCAGAGTCAAAGGGATATATTCCTATCAAATAATTCTGTAAACCTTCACAATCAAGAAAGAAATAGCATGATGACAATGCAGTGACATCTGGATACAAATCTTATGATCACATTTCCATAATAATTTACTGACATACAATTTATACACTGTAAATAGTACAGCGGACCAGGAGTGAGTGGAATAGCTCGGGAAGCAAGGGATATTTTATAATTCTTTTTGGTTCTATACCAAAATTTTGAACCTCGAAGTAGACTAAACACAAACATATCAACCAGTGGATAAGTTCAAATGCGAAGAGAAATTTCTAATGCTTGGCCAAACAAATGGTCCCTTTTACAATGACATTTAAGTTATTTTATTATTGTTCAGTTGTCCTGTCTTCAATGTGATTATGTTATAAACATCTGGAACATTTGGATGCTCACAAAAGAATTAAAATCTAAAATATTACAATATAAAAGTCTGTTCTGTATAATATTTTGTATAACAATGTAGTATGGTTCTCCTCATTAAATATTGGCATTTTCTTAAAAAACAAACAAAAAAAGCCACAACTGAAAAAAACACACAAACCAAAACCAATCAAACAAAACCACATGACCCAGAACAATCCTGGCTATGATTTTGAGGTTATCAGACACATACAGAAAAACATCCAACACCGATTATTACATAGATTATTAATTTGATTTCTGAGTGACAGCCTTGTATTTTCACATTAAAACCATAAACCAAATGTAATTTTTTACTGTAAAACAATAAAAGAATTTGCATGTAACTACCTATAAGTAAAGCTTAGTAAAGCTGAAAAAAAATAAAGAGACAAGGTGAATAGAACCTAATCAACATGGAAAAAATATCAAATATAAAATGACTAACATCAACGGAAAAAGATCATTTCAAGAAGGTCTAGAAATAAACAAAGTAATATGATTATTTATAAATAAAAAGTTTCAAATTAACTTTGTGCCCTTTTCCTTTCATCTCACAGATATGTTTATTGTTTTTATCACTATATCTGGAGATCATGTTCTTACACGTCTTCAAGCTTCCTGTGTGGAAAATTCTTAACTGTTAAGATTTGCAGAATGTGAACAAAAAGTAAGATAGTTAATTAAGACATATATGTGTATTTTAGTCTAATATTCTATTTCTTTCCACGCTGTGATACAAATCTTTAAGATCCCCAAGTTATTTCATAATCAGCTCACTACTCAGAACAAATGAAAAAACATCTAAAAATAATCTGAAGACATTATTTAGTTATGCTGTTTGCCTTTTCCTTTTCATATACTTGTACGTTAATATATGGTACACAGACTGTTCTTTGTAGGCAATTTTACTGAAAATGTCGAAAGCCAGCTAATTAAGCATAATTTTGAGCAATACTTCACCATTTACACTATAGTTTGCAAAACAAACAGATGTGTCAACTTGTGTTAACACAGGTTTAAAACCTCAGAAACAAATAATACCCTGCAAGATACCATCTAGACATTCAATCTGACAAAATAAAGCCATGAGAGATGCAGTAAAAAATTACAAGCAACTAAGATGGAAAGATTAAGAGCACAAAGTAGTAATAAAATAAAACAAACATTCAGAGGCAGGCTAAGCATGCAGAACAAGCAAAAGAGAGTGTATGTGAAGTAGAGACAACTTACATGACTGTTGAGAAGAGAGCTTCTGTGAGTGGACAGACCATCAGACTTTTGCAGTGTCTCAATCGCCATTTCAATCTGATAATAGATGGCATTAAAAAAAGGACTCAAGACAAGATAGTAAAAAAGTCTGATCAGAGAAGTTTTGAAAGGTGCTTACAGATCAATAGAAATGCCTAGTTTGTTTTCCTGGCTAGGACATATATTCTATTAAATGTTGTCATTCTGGATCTCAGTGAACACAAACCTCTTCACTGAGATCGGAAAGCATTTTGCTTGCATACATACTGCAGGATCACAGCCTCTCAATTCAATTTACCTTTCTCCTTGCTCTCCAGATTTGCTGAACAAAATAATCCTAAATAAAGACAACAATGCCTGACTGAACAAAAGTATCGCTTATGACCAAGAAAATTATCCCAAGCAGAATTTTAAGACAGGCATCCATACATTCTCCCTTCAACTATAACAGGAAGAGCTGTTTCCATACTGAAAAAACAATTGAGTTAGACACAAAACTTCCTCTTTCTGCAATAACAAGCAAATCTCAATCCCAAATAATTTAATAGGTTTTCTGACATTAATTTCAGTGGCACAAGATATCACTGACTGCTGCAGCACCATCGAAGTATCTCCAGCTGCCAAAGTAAATAGAAAGTCAGGAGTCACACAGACAGCAGGATCCAGCCTTCAGAAAAATAGCTTATCTTTTCACAACTTAAAACAGAATTTTAACTTTGTATTTTAGAACAACACACTGCTATTAAATATACAGCATTTTCGAAGTGCAAATGTATAAACACTCACACATTTGTTCCCAATCTTTCCCTTTGAATATCAGTGGATCTTTTCATGCTCTATAACAACATTAAAGAGTAAAATTGGAACCTGACTGTAGTTTAGCCAAGCAAGAACAACACTGAAAATGACAGAGACAAAGGGATGTGCAGTAAGAAAAGGCATATAATTAACTACATTAAATGGCCACAACAAAAGCAATGGAAAATGCAATGGAAATGCACTTAGATTTTTAAAACTACTTTTCATTTTCCCTGTAGACCATTTAAAATTATCCTTCCCCATTCTACTTATATCACAGTACTATTAAAATATTTTAGTGTTATAATTTATCAGTGTTAGACTACTTCATTCTTTGAATACCAGAGACCGAAAAATAGTTTATATTAAAATTTACAGCACAAAATAAATTAGCTTCTCCCTTCTTTATAGTATGACTGGTCAGTATTTTTATTCCAATAATTGAGATAAGTAATTCCTTCTTTCTTTCCTGTAACTGCTTAATATCAGGTACATAAAACTATCAAAGAAGTGTACTGAGTATATGATTACTATGTAAGAAAATGAACTGACACGATGACAACTTTCTTTAATCTGATTTCTTCTTGCTTCAGTAGAAGAAACTATGAGGTTAGAGTACTCAATCACATAGAAAAATTCAAATTTTAAAGGCACATAGAATGATAAAAAGTACAATTTTAAACATTATTATAGCAAGATCAATTTGCTACATATGGAAAAAATTTCCCTTCATAATTCCACAACCAAAGTATACATACATATATACGTCCTAACTCTTTATCTTAAGTTACTTGTTCAACAATGCTTGCTTTACAACAGTACTACAACACTAAGGTTACACCTGATTCCTTCTATTGCATTACTTCCATTATGCTGCTGCAATGCGTGGTCCTGTTTGCTCAGATAATCAGTTGGTTAAATGTAGCAATAATTGCTCTTACAAAGAAAAGAGGCACTGCAGATGCCACTCATTTCTAACTGCTATGTTCCTTCAATGTCTTGCGATGCAGTGCAATTAACCAAATAAAGACAGCCCTTCTTTTTGGTCATTTGGGAAAATTTGTAGCTGAGGTTTATTCTTTAAAGTAGCTTTCACCAGTATTGCCACTGAGGACAGTGACTCTGTCTTTGCAGATCCCCAGGTTTAAAACAAGATTTTTACAGTGTTACGATCATCTAGTCCACTTTTTCTGCATAACCTAAGCCAAACAGTCACCACTAAAAATGTTACCTCTAAAATGTTAATTAATTCATCAAGCTCAGAAAGATACCAGTTCCATATCTAAAATAAGTCATCATTATCTCTAAGGAATCAAGTTTCACAACACAAATTGTTCTAGCTACCTATTATTTTCATTATTTCTAGCCTAAATTTTCATAAGGCGAACTTCTAGTTTTATCTGACAGATATCTCTCTAATAAAAGAAACCTTCTTATATAGGCAATACAATCACATCTTCAGTAGTTTTGAACATAAAATTACTTCAATTTGAAGGAAGATTTTTAAGACACTAAATCATTCTCATCTCTATTCAAAACTGCATTCAAACATATATGAACATTGATTACATAGGTAATGTAGTCATTTTTACTGTTATATTATTTAGAATATGAAAATAATATCAACTTTTTTTTTGCATAAATACAAATAAAAAACTAATATCTATGTGTTTCTAGCAATGTATATTGAGAGAGTCCAGGCACAGCTAACAATATTTGCACTTGAAATGCTTAATGAAAGAAAGGAATTACACATTCATTTATTTGAGTGTGTGATCAGTCATAGATTTCTCCTTTTCTTCTCTTAAAAAGACTAAAAACATTCCTTATTAAATTGTTTTGACTGATAACTGAGATATACACTGTAATTCTATCACTCCCACAATAACTTGAATATAACCATGTTAAATATTGCATGACAATCACCTTTTATAGTAACATAAGCAATGGGGGGGGGGAGAGGAGAATGGATGGAATAAATTAAAGCATGATAGTCAAGAAAACTGTGATTCGAGACATCTCCCTTAACTTACATTGTTTGCCTTACATTGTTTGGACACAGTTGTTAATGATTAAAGGTATTTCCCTTGAGATAATAAATTCAATATTTTGATCCCAATACAGGCATCTGGAAATCCACATTGTTCAGTCTTTATGTGATCTACTGATTCAGAAGTTATTAAATATCCTTGTTAAGTTTATGCCTTAGTTTTCATTAACATGTTAATAGACAAACATAATATACATAATAGTTTCAGATATGTATAATAAATTTCTAAGAGCCAATGGCAAAAGTAGCAGCACTTTTTCACGATTCAACTAATTAACACAAAGTATTTACAGTAAGTTGTTCTGAGATGGTGAGGACATAAAGAAGACAATTGGCAGAAGTTTGAGACCTGACCTGATTGATCTGAAAAATCACTCAGAACAGCCACAGGCTAGCGAAAATCCAAAATGTTTGGGTTTCGGGTCAGATGACATTTTCCTTCCTAAAGCTGCAAATGAAAAAAAGCTATCCATCTTCTCTGCTCATGGTTCTCAAATATATGGTCAGAATGATTGACCAATTACACTTTCTCTCCCCAGAATCATCCAGTTCCTTGTATCTATGATCTCAAATATTTATAACTTCAAATATATTCTAAGCTGGTTTTCTTTCTGGCAGTTTCCCCCATATTTGATATAAATGCCCTCGTGAAAAACAAAAAAAGTCCTCCACTTAACTCTAAAAAATATCTGGAAATGTCACACACATATTCGTTGCATTTCTCACATAAGAAAAAAAAAAGTGAGAAGCTAAAAAAAAAACCGAGTTCAGATTACAATTATTATTAACATCAAATTTGAAAGCTTTTATGACAAGACAGACCCAGAGAGAGGTATATAGGCTATTTTAGAACAAACAAGTATTTAATTAAAATCAGAAAAACCTACTCCTGCAGAAAGGTGATGCCTGAACTCCAGCAATAATGACTGTTAAAATAACATCAATGACAAGTCATCTTCCATCCAGTTTAAGCATTTTAAGTAAAATAAAATGAATTAATAGAAATTATTTTCATGGATTCAAAGATATCTATTTTAAATATTTAATAATAAAAAGTTGTATTTTATGCAGTTCTTTTTTATTATTATTTATTTATTTATTTATTATTAATAATTGGAATGCTACACTTGCCAAAATTTTGTTTCAAGCAACACTCCATCTTCAATTTTAATATAAAAATGTCAGAATAAATATCTGGTGGAAACAAACCATGAGGTGCTTCAAGGCTTTTCAGACAGAAAACACAAGAGCCAATGACTGAAGATTGAAGCTAAACTGACTCAGAAAAGAAACAAGGTGAAGCAGATGCAGGACAGGTTTGTGAGGTCATTCTCCCTTATCCTGATCTTGTAGAAGGGACACAGCATCAATTCAAGAAATACCACAGAGCAACAAAGGACTCACAGGGGTAGAGAAATAACAATTATTATGGTCACACTACATCACTGAAACCTAGCTCTTGTTCTGGAAGAGAGTGATGATGCTCCAGAGTTCTCAAGGAGAAATCAAAGAAGAAAAGTCTTAGAGAAGGGAGTTCATAAAGGCACAAGGTCATCAAATCTAATTTTCTTCCCCACGAGCTAATTCACACCACTTACACTTTTTTAATTTCTTTATCAATTGTAGTGATTACCCATTAATACAATTAATCTAAAAGAAGAAAAAAGAAGTTTATCTGCCTCCTCTTATCTAGAAATGGATGCTTCTTTTTCCACAAAAGACTTGTTACAGTGCAAGAAGTCAGACTGCTTGATCCAATATTTCTCTGCAGCGTAAATTTCTATGCATCTTTAATTTTATCAGAAATTGTTTGTTTTATGCTGAAAAATATAAAGCGGACCTAGTTAACTAAAAATTCTGCAACAGATTATCAGAAAAAAGTGAGGAATGGAGTTGGAAGGAGTTTCTCTACTGGGAAAGAGATTAATTAATACAATCTCAACTATTTTCCAAATTATTACAGAATCACAGAACCGTAGGGGTTGGAAGGGACCTCCAGAGATCGAGTGCAACCCCCCTGCCAAAGCAGGTTCCCTACACCAGGTCACAGAGGTAGGCATCCAGGCAGGTCTTGAACATCTCCAGAGAAGGAGATTCCACCACCTCCCTGGGCAGCCTGTTCCAGTGCTCTGTCACCCTCACCGTAAAGTTCTTGCTCACATTTGTGCAGAACTTCCTATGCTGCAGTTTCTGGCCGTTTCCTCTTGTCCTGTCTCCACATATTGCTGAAAAGAGTCTGGCCTCGCCACTCTGCACTCCACACCTTAGATATTTATAGACCTGGATCAGGTCCCCTCTCAGTTGTCTTTTCTCAAGGCTGAACAGACCCAGTTCACTCAGCCTTTTTTCATAGGTTCCAGGCCCTTCACCATTTTTGTGGCCCTCTGCTCTTTTGTCATGGTTTTATGTTTTTGTTTCTTCATGTTTCACTATTCCACATCAAAACATCATGTAGTGCACTGGGCATTAAAGTGTTACTGCCCCAATTCCAGGTACCTATCCCTGTACATTACAGAAGTCATGGGATCTGACCTTTCTGGGTGGGGCGCTCTCTTACTGCCTGGCAGTGGGTGCTGGAGGGTGCTTTCCTAGCCGCTCCAAGCTTTTCAGGTTTGACTCGGTCCCAGGAACTCTCTCTCTCCCATCTTGTCTGAGTTATTAGTCTCAATTTCAATTAAATTGTATTATATTGTGTTATCTTCTATTCCGGTAACATAGTAAAATAAGTTTTCCTCCATAGATTGTTGCCACTGTTCTTTTCCTCCCTTTCCTCCCTTTCCTCCCTTTCCTCCCTTTCCTCCCTTCCTCCCTTCCTCCCTTCCTCCCTCCCTCCCTCCCTCCCTTCCTCCCTTCCTCCATTCCTTCCTTCCTTCCCATTTTGTATGGCTGGGGTGGGGGGGGGAACAGCTGGGGCCTACTGCCCCCCTGTCATGGGCATAAATTGATCTAGTGAACTCCGTGACATCTTCCCAAGAGATCCCTGTCTTTTTTGTACTGGGGAGCCCAGAACTGGACGCAGTACTCCAGATGAGGTCTTACCAGGCCAGAGTAGAGGGGGAGGATCACCTCCCTCGACCTGCTGGCCACGCTCTTTCTAATACACCCCAGGATGCCATTGGCCTTTTTGGCCACAAGGGCACACTGCTGGCTCGTGGCCAACCTGTCGTCCACCAGGACACCCAACCAAGACACCCTCTCTGCAGAGCTCCCCTCCAGCAGGTCATCCCCCAACCTGTATCGGTGCATGCAATTATTCCTCCATAGATGCAAGACTCTTCACTTGCTTTTGTTAAACCTCATCTGGTTTCTTACTGCCCAGCTCTCCAGTAAGAAACCAGGTGAGGTTTAACATAATTATAACCCTGTCAGCTTAGAATATTTGTTGTTTATTGTTTTTAAAATAATTAAAATAGCTCTGTACTAAAATTATACAATCAAGATACAACATTTACAATAGGCTTCCTAAGTTCATCTGTTATTATTCTTCTATCTTAATTAATTGCACATTTTGGGTAGATATCACTCTTGCTGTAAAGTTAGCATATTTTGCATGCTGCACTTACTAAGAGAAGTAATAATTTGTCCTAACACAAACAATCAATACTAATTCTGCTTTTATTTTATATTTACACGTACCCTGAAAGAGGATAAACTTCTGCAACAGCGTAAATGGAGACCTCCCATAGCTGGTGATGACTGATAAGTGACAGCTGTAATTACAGGTCAGTACTAAAGCATATTACAGAAATCAGCACTAACAAACAGGAGCCTCTCACTGGCTGACAAGCATAACAATATCTTTACTACTAAAAACTTTATTAACTTAAGATAGTATGCAATATGTTGTTTAGATCATTCCGTTTAATCACAATAACAATCTGTAGACATATATAGAAAAAAAAAGATTGAAAGACGATTTACATTTCACTATTAATAATGCAATTCAATTTTCTAGTCAGACTCCTAACCATAGCTGCATTCATTCATGATAACCACCAGTAAAGCAAGGGGATTCATCTTTTATCAAGTTGCAACATCTAAATTAATTTCAGATAGATAACCAGCTAAATTGAATCACCTCTTGTTCAACGTAATCTCATTCTATGTGCATTCACATCCAAATGTGTTGTTTATATTGTCTGTCTGTCTATAATTGCTTAGTTATTTATCTCCCTAAAATCTGACATAGGTACGTCTTATAGACTGAAGGCCTTTCTACTTTGGGAGAAAAAAATTCATTCTGAGGAAGTAGAGGACTAATTTGATGCACAAGGCAAGGACACCACGGGAAGAAACAAATCAGTGGAAATAAAACAACTGAGGAAAATGTTACAAATTTTCTTCATGCTCACTAGGTGTATTTTGTTGCTTAGTATATAGAAGAATTTTTTTTTAAGTAGTCGAAAGAAAATTGAATTTTTTCGTTTCATTCATCCAATACATAGTTTACAACACATACCAATTTCACACATTGGACTTTTAACTTAAAACTTTTTTTTTTTTTTTTTTTTAACTGCAGCCAAATACATTAGAAAAATCTAACATAACTTACTATAAAAAGATAATGACTTCATCAGTGATGGTGAATAACAACAAAACAAATGAAGCTCCCTCTTGTATGCAGTAACAAAACTATTACCTCAGTGACAAGAGTAAACAAAGCTAATGATGGCCATATGCCGTAATAAGTAACGCTTCCCTTATTTGTATACCCTTTCTCTCTAGGTGAAAATTCTCCTAGCTAATTCAATATTAGGAAATATTTGCTGAAAATTTTAATAGCAAACCAGACTAGATACATGCTATTTTAATGTCTCCAATAAATGCTCTATATAAGAATGAAAAATGGAATAATGGTGAGGATCAAATGAGGATCATGAGAGAAATGAGATCCAGTTTTCTAAAGGGCAATCCAAATGAAGTATTGCATTGGTCTATTTTGCACAGTGAATTTCAAACAGACCTGATGTTTTAATATTGCAGTCTAAACTGAATCTTTTACGTTTCAACTGATCCGTGAAAATTTCAGGTCACTATAAGTATCCAGATCCTAAAATGATAAAACCTAAAACCTGTGGCCCACCAAAACAGCAAGAAATCACTTCTGATGTATTCTTATGTCTTGCACAATAGAACTATACAAAATAAACAGTACCTTAAAAAAAAAAGAATAAACAAACAGAAGAAAATATTTTAGTGTTAAAAATGCAATTTAGTCATTGTGATTCGATTAGCATTATTTTTAATATTCATAAAAGTAAGTTAATATTGAAGTACAGAAGGTACTCAATCTAAAAGAGGCTGGTTTTTTTATACATGAAGCAAGACAAATTTGTTGCTTAAAGAACAAACCTCAGATTTTGTTAAATTTTGTAAATTTGACACAAAAGAACTGAATTGTTTTAATTTGTTAAATATACCACAGATTTTTGTTTTGCTCAAGTAATTTCAGGATATTCAACTTTTACTGGACATATTTAAATTTCATTTGATTTCAAATTCAAATAAACATTTTAGGACTGACTTTTGCTGTTATAGCAAAAAACCGAACTCATGATACGCAAAACACTAAACTTCATATGTTCTTAAATGAATAAGGAGAAAACTAGCATGAAATAGGTAATATTTGTATTTAAATGCATTTAAATACAATTAAATTAAAAATTTTAAAAAAGAACAATGCGTTTAAAACAACTATAAAAACATACAAATATCATTGGTACGTAAATATTTAAAGTAATATCACTTTTCAAAATTAATTCGATCTTGATCTGTTTCTTACTTGTGACCACAGAATAATACTCTTGTCCTACCTTGCTTGGTAGTTACAAATTGTGTGCAAAAACTGCAAGAAATATCTTTCAAATAATTAATATTTTAAAGAAAAAATAAAAGCATTGATTTTATTTAAATTAAAATTCAGACATGTTTTTTTTCTTATGAAAATTATTTAAAACACATGTAAATGTTACCAAACACTCTTTTTTATTTAACCGTTAAATATAAATACAATATTCTATTGCCAGCTGAAGGGTCCTGCTATGCTACTGATACGTATGCAATTCATTCACTATGAGTCTCTGCAAATTTTATTCTCACAAAATAATACTACATAGTTAAGGTAGTCTGAAAGTTTGTATGAAATAATACATCTACATTGTACAAATGTATATATATATATATAAAACTACCTTAAGAATCAATATCAAGATATTTTATTGAATCACTTAAGTGCTAATGTAAATGTTCATCATTATTCCAAATAAAATTTAAAAGAATACTAGATTTTACTTGTTACACTGGTTCCCAAAAATAAAGTTGCATTCATTATGGCCATGCAGTAAAGCTAGACTATGTATAAGCCAATTTTCTTAATGGGAATAAGAAAATTTGAGTAAGTGCTTAAGAGAAGAGTTGATGCTCATACTTAAATGTCCGAAACAGTATTTATCATAATTCTAACAGCATGAACCTTCCCACAGCATTATAAGATACCTCCTCAACAGGGTTTTGAAAAGTACCATGTATGAGTAAGAACAAATGTTAAAAGGAAAAAATATGCCAAAATTCTGAAAATACAAGAGTATTTTGAAATATGCTACCACACATACACTAAAGTAAAACAAAAGATAAAGAATGCAGGAAGTTATAACCAATTACTTACAAGCTAGATTATTTGATATATACATCTATTAACATGAATACTCTCAACAATATTTTTTTAATTTTTAAAAAAAAAAGCTTTTTGAGTTCTTGTAGAAATATATTAAGCTCAGACAGACTATCGTAAGCATTCTCAAAATATTCACAAGTATTACATGCGTGCAAAAATATAAAATGTAAATATTTGCAACCCATCTTGGGAAATACTGTTTCGTTTTTTTTTTTATTAAGTTTCATGCTTGTGTCTTGTTTTTTTTTTGTTACATATTAATTTCTTGTGTCACGACAAAGTACTGTGTAGTACTTTACTAGCATAATTTTGTTGTACTTTCTTAAACAAACATCATATCAGTCAGAAAGAACATCTTAATGACTAAGTCCCAAAGATTTCACATCAGTCTGAAATACTTACTGTAGCTGGGGAAGTCCGTGTTGTATGAGTCACTGAATGACCAGAATTTTCCATTGAATTGCCAATCAAATAGGTCCCTCCTGAGCTGCTAATGAGTTGTCCTCCTGTGACACCCATCTGAATCCCTCCAGTGCCCACCATGCTATGAGAGGAGACCACTGTTGTCACCTGCGCAGAACTTCCTTGAGTATCAAAATAATTTCCCCCAGTGTTTTGGCTGTACATCTGGGTTTCTGTGTAAGGATAAGTTGTTGATCGGCTTCAAGAAAAGAAAACAAAAGGAAAATAAATTATTTGTATTGTTCATTGAGCTGAGGGAAATGTTGTATTTCTAGTACATATCTGCAATTGCCATAGCCAAATTAAAAAAGATTGGCAAACAATCCCTTCTCAGAGAATAACATTTCTGCAAATAAATGTACCAAATAACTAATCCAGTAAAAATATTAAAACAAGTATTCACCAAGCCTTGCAGAAAAGTTTGTCAGCCTTACCTGAAGAGGATCAAAGAAAAGAAGTATGACAACAATTAAGAAGATGGACAGGAAGAGTTCATACAATAATTAATATAGAGCAAAAATTGTAAAGCTCCACCCATTTCAACTTTTTACAATCCTACCATAAAATACAGAATTTCAATCATACGCTATGTACTTTCCATACTAAGATGCAAAATTGCAAACAAATTATGTAAATCTCAGCCAAGAAAGCTCAGTGTTCAAGAATTCCATGTTAACTATTGATTTTAAATGTTTTTATACCTCTCAGTTAAAGCTTGAAATTCAGAACTTAATGGTATTTTAATATGTTTATTTTTACAGGGTGAATTTAAAATTGAACATGAATTTGTACTATGATGAAAAACTGCACTGAAGAAATAAAACCAAATGAGAATTATGACATTTGTAAAAAGCTTACAAAGATTAAAGAAGGTATGCAGCAAAAACGTTTCAAAAATTATTTTTGAGCATGAAATATTCATGGCCCATTAATGAGTATAGTCTTTAAACTATTCAGTCTGAAACTTTTTATCATGTTTCAAATTCTTAATCACTTATATTAAATCATTACCTTGCATGTGTTATAATCTATTCATAATTATTGAATAAGTACTCACTCCTTTGTTCACCAATTATTGAATATGTACTAGCTTTCTTCACCAAAATACATTTTAAAATTATTAACTGTATAGTATTCATTACTTCAAAGCAAAATTCCTTATTTTTGAAAAATCTGCCTGAAAATTTCACCTTGTTTCACAGTGGCTAAGTTTTGTATTTTAGCAAGTAGGACAATAGAAATGCCAAAGAAAAGAAAATAATCAGTTTATTTAACCATTAATTTTATTCCTTAAGCATAAAAATCTGTAATGTTGCCTGTAATCAACTGACAACACTCATTAACTTGGATTTGCTTATGTTGAGATACAGTCTGTCCAAATAAATACAATTTAAATCTAGTAGGATTCTGAGAAAAGACAAGAGTTGCCAAATTTCTGCATAAGCCTACAGTTTATTATAATTGTAGAAACCACAAAATCATGCAAAACCATGCAACTAAATATGACAAAAAATTTCTGACATTTCTATCCAAGATTACAAGAGGAGGCAGCATTCAGTATTTATACAGTTGGTAGATCATTAGTACATCTGTCCAAGGCTTAGAAGTCAGTGTTTTTTTTCCATTTATCTACACAAGGATTAGTTCCTTATTAAAACAGAGAAAGGTAATAGAAAATTACAGCTTGTTCTGTTTTTCTTTTTAAATTATGAAAGCTTAGTAAACAATAGACTCAGAGATAATGATCTTTTGCTTCAGAATCATTACTTTTAAGAGAAGTGAAGAACATATAGCACCTTATCAACAATCAAAGTCAGAATTTTTACTATCACCACAGACTTCAGAGACTTACAGAAATTTCAAAACTAGATTTCAAATCCTGAAAGTTTTACAAAGCTCATACTATATTATTTCCTCTCAACCCTCTTTAAGTTAATCAAATTCTTTTTTATTTTGGGTATTGCAAAAGCTTCAAAATCAGCAGTACGAAACTTGGAAGTTAATCTACAAGAAATGCCTTGCAGACTCCTGAAAACAAAGCAAAATAGTTCATTTGGGAAACAGCACTAAAGTAGGCAGCTAATCTATTATTTCTTTGGAAAAGTAAAACCAGTTCTTCTTTGCATTGCAGTAGCCTTTGCATATATTTAAGCATCATGCAGTCCTGATTCACCTGTTTGATCAAGCCAAGGTATCACTGTCAAACCTTGTGATAGCATTGAAATATTGCTTCCCTTGTGATGTAAAAGATAACTGCTAGCAGAGATGGTGTTACATCTGCCTTGGAAACATACAATTTATTGAATTTACAGAATTTACTCCAATGCAGTAAGGGTCAGTTTAGGAAAAAGTAGTAGTGGAAGTGCAGAATAAACAGTTCAGCAAAATGCTTGTGAAGGAAGTAAGCACTGTAATTTCTTCCAAAAGAGAAATATCCTATGAGGTACCAGTACAATATGGCAATGAATGAAAGGCCAAAGGTGCTGATGATGGTAAAAATAGATACAGATAAAAGAAACAGACTGTCCACAAAGGACATAAGCAAGACATACCACACTTGTAGAAATGAAATTAAAGAAGTAGTACTTTGTACAAATGCAAAGTCTAGAAAGTGCTCAATGTTTCAGAAGAAAAGTAAGTCACTCCGTGTGGAAAGGATAGGGAAAAGGAAATATCTGTTTGCTTTTACCTTGTTCTGATCTACAAATCATGTACAGTCCCTAAATAAGGACTGATTGTATTGCAACACCTAAATCTGCTTCTAACTACTTCTTATGACTGCACCAAGAGCGATCTTTGGGATAGATAGATGGGTTGGACTTTGAGATAAACATATTTGTTCCAACAACCAGGTTTACATCAGGTTCTTCACGTACACCTGATTATTGGAGATCATAAAGCAAATCTTCAGCAACAGAGATCAATGATGTAATTAAAAGTGAGATAAAATTGTTATTATTACATGCAATGATAATTGCAACTCAGCAAAGAGCTCTTAAACTAACTATAATAAAAACGAATTAATCTGGAAACCAAAAGATGCAGGCTATACCAACCGGATGAGGTGATGCTATGGAAACCAGTAACTCACAGGTTTTAACGTCACTGAATACAACGTGAGCTTTCAACACAAAACTGTGCAAAGAGAAAAATATGATGTTATACTCTTTAGATATACACAAAGGATAACCTGAAATAAGGAAGTTATATCCTATTTCTCCACAGCACTTGCAGCATGGATATATAATACATCCTCAAGTAGTCTGGCATATAGTCATTTCTTGCCCATTGCAAATGTTGTCACAGCACCATCTCTTATTTTTCTGTACAGTTGCATATTTAACCTCAGCAGAAGTAAAATCTTCTGAATGTTTATGAGGATTACTTTGGTGATACACCATGGCTTGAGATACATTAGGAAACAGAATCTAACAGTTACTCCTACAGGAAGATTGTGGAATTCAGTATTTGTTAGAATGTGGCATTAGAAAGTTCATCAGAGTTCCAAATACATTAGGCTACAGTGTCCTAGCTTCCAAAAGGTTGTGCAACCCAGACAGTGTTTAACTGGAGAGCATGTCGCACAAAGTCAAGATTCCACACTGGAAGTTATTGAGACTAGCATGAGCTGCACTAGGATTGCAAGGTATTATAATTCACCTGTTATACATTATTTCTTAGATTTTATTATAGCATCATAGATTGGTTTGGGTTGGAAGGAACCTTTAAGATCACGTAGTTCCAACTCCCCGGCTATAGGCAGGGACACCTCCTTCTAGACCAGGCTGCTCAAAGCCCCATCCAGTCTGGCCTTAAGCACCTCCAGGGAGGGGGCATTCACAACCTCACTGGGCAACTTGTTCCAGTCTCTCCACTCTCACAGTAAAGAATTTCTTCCTACTGTCCAGTCTAAATCTACCCTGTTCACTGGAACAGGCTGCCCAGGGAGGTGCTGGAGTCTCCTTCTCTGGAGATGTTCAAGACCTGCCTGGATGCCGACCTGTGCGACCTGGTGTAGGGAACCTGCTTTGGCAGGGGGGTTGGACTCAATGATCTCTGGAGGTCCCTTCCAACCCCTACAATTCTGTGATTCTGTGATTCTGTGATATACCCTCATACTGTTGCTACATGCCCTTACAAAAAGTCCCTCCTGCCCTTTCCTGTAGGCCCCTTTCTGGTACTAGAAGGCTGCTATATGATTCCCCTCGAGCTTTCCCTCCTCCAGGCAGAAGAGCCCTCTCTCTCACTGCCTGCCCCTGCAGGGGTGGTGCTCCAGCCCTCTGATCCTCTCTGTGGGCCTTCTCTGGACCTGCTCTAACAGCTCAATGTCGTTCTTCTGCTGGAGGCCCCAGAACTGGATGCAGTACTCCAGGTGCAGTCTCATGAGAGCAGAGGGCCTCCCTCTTTAACATGACTTGCAAAACGTAATGCTAGAAATAAAACACATGGAGCTGTGTTAAAATGTTGTTATTAAAGGTGTATTTTTGACACGAAAGCAGACTGATTTCTAAATCCATTGTGTCTCTGCACTGACCTTAGAAATAAGTGTTCTGCATTTTATTTCAGACACAGACATATTACTATAAAATTTAGCTTTTAAGGACAATTCTGTCCCTTCAAAAATTCTGTTACTTTGAAAAAAAAAAATTAAAAACAACACTGAAGGAGTAAATCTAGCTATCTTCTCTATCAGTTTTCAGAGTACATGTGTACATGGGAAAAAATTTCTTCCAAGCTGCATCTATTACTTGATTCTATGTATATGTCAAGACTATGATCTACTTACTACTATAAATCTGTGCTCCTGACATCCCATTATGTCTCTGTATTTACATGAATTGATCACAGCTTCACATTTTCTTTGAGCAAATAATTGATGAAACCTTTCACATTTTTGCTTAGAAAGCATCACCTATAATATTATGCCAGTTTATGTCTTAGAAATGTCTACCTTGCTGAAGGATTTTTTTTTCCATTACTCTTCATCTTAGTAAAAAAACAAAACAAAACAAAACAAAAACAACAAACATTTATTTCTTTTCCCAGGATTTGGTTAGAATATCAGATAAGTTAACTCATGTATACTAAGCATATTAAATTAGTTTTCAATTTGATGTATACCAGTAACTTCTGTGTTTTGCAAAATAAGTAATTAGGAAGTGCTCTTTTATTATCCACTGTAGACACCAACTGGCAAAA